CCTCAGGGTCCTGCCCCGTCAGGTGTGTCCCAGGTAGACGCAGTCGAGCCTGTCGAGGTAGCTGTTGACTCTGGTGCTGCTAGGGGTGCTGAGCCTGCGGGTGCCGGGTCTGGGGGTGCTGAGCCTGGGGGTGCGGAGCCTGGGGGTGCTGAGTCTAGGGGTGCTGAGCCTACGGGTGCCGGGTCTGGGGGTGCTGAGCCTGGGGGTGCGGAGCCTGGGGGTGCTGAGCCTGGGGGTACGGAGCCTGGGGGTGCGGAGCCTGGGGGTGCTGGTTCTGCTCGTGTGGCCTCTGGCGGTGCTTCGTCGAGGCGGGAGCTACCCTCTCCGCAGGAGCTGCGCGAGTGGTTTGCCCGGCGCTGGAGCCGTGCTGCTGGAGCTGGAGGTGCTACTGTTGCTGCTGGTCCTGGAGGTGCTCGTGCTGGCGGTACTGGAGCTGCTGGGACTGGGGGTGCTGCTGGGGCTACTGGAGTTGGTCCTGCTGGAGGTACTGCTGGAGCTGCTGGCGGTACTGGAGCTGACGGTCCTGCTGGAGCTGCTGGAGCTGGAGCAGCTGGGGGGTGTTGGCGCTGGAGGTGCTGCTGGCGCTGGTGCTTCTGAGGGTGCTGGAGTTGGCGCTGTTGGAGCTGGAGGTGCTGCTGGCGCTGGTGCTGCCGCTGGGGGTACTGGTGCTGTCCCTGCTAGTTCTGGAGGCGCTGCGCGGCCGCGGCCGTACTTCGTTCCGCTCCTTGAGCAGGTTCTTGGTCTCCCGCCCTCTACTAGTCCTGCTCCTCCCTTAGAGTGTCCACAGCCTGTCCAGTCGCGGTCACAGTTACAGCCAGCCTCCCCCTTACCTGCTCCTTCTCCCTACACTGGTCCTACTGGAGGTCTTGCTGAGCGTCGTGAGCCTGCGTCTCGTCCTGCATCGCCTGTTCGTGCTGCTCGCACTAGTAGTCGTGCTCCGCGTCCGCGTCCTCCTGCCGTCCCGGGCACACTCCAGATGGCACTGCGTCCTTCCACTGCTCCTCTGCGTGTCCCGTTGCCGTCTCCTCCAGAGTCCTCTCTTCCTGTCCTTGCTGACCCGGAGTCTGACTCTCTTCGTGCTGCCAGTCCTACTGTCACGCGTCTCCTGGCTACTGTTGTCACTGACCCTTCCTTTGAGTCCACTGCTGCGTCTGCCTTGGTTGCTGAGCTTGTCGACTTTGCTGCTCGCTGTCGTCTAGACTACGCTGCTAGTCTTGTTGCTGAGTCTGAGTCTGTCTGTCCTCCGTCCGTCGGGGGTGAGTGTGCTCTTAGCACGGACGTCCTTGAGGACACGCAGGAGGAGTTCCAGTGTTTTGCTGCTGCTTTGCCTCATCTCGTGTCCACGCTGATTGCCCCTGAGGGAGACCCGGATGCACCAGACATCCCGACTCCTCGATCGTACGCTGAGGCGATCGAGGGTCCCTACTCCTCACAGTGGCAGTCAGCCATGGACGCAGAGATGGCTTCCTGGAAGTCCAGAGGCACTTACGTCGACGAGGTTCCCCCACCTGGGGCGAACATCGTCAGTGGCATGTGGATTTTCAGGGTGAAGCGGCCACCAAGGTTCTCCGCCCGTCTTCAAGGCGCGTTACGTGGCTCGAGGCTTCAGTCAGCGGCAGGGAGTTGACTACTTTCAGACCTTCTCTCCCACCCCGAAGATGACCACTCTTCGGGTGCTGCTGCACATAGCCGCTCAGCGCAACTACGAGCTTCACTCTCTTGACTTCAGCACAGCTTTTCTGCAGGGCAGCCTGCACGAGGAGATCTGGCTGCGCCGCCCACCTGGCTTCACTGGGTCGTTTCCTCCTGGTACCCAGTGGAGCCTCCGGCGGCCAGTCTACGGTCTCCGCCAGGCGCCCCGTGAGTGGTACGACACACTGAGGACTACACTTGCGGCTCTTGGGTTTGCTCCTTCTACTGCCGACCCGTCGCTGTTTCTGCGCACCGACACCTCTTTGCCGCCGTTCTACATCCTCGTGTACGTCGACGACTTGGTCTTTGCCACTGCTGACACTACTGGACTCGCCCACGTGAAGTCCGAGATGCAGAAGAGACACACGTGCACAGACCTAGGTGAACTGCGCAGCTACCTTGGCTTGCAGATCACCCGGGACAGAGCACAGCGCACCATTACCCTGACTCAGTCACACATGGTGCAGCAGGTCCTTCAGCGCTTCGACTTCACGTACTCCTCGCCTCAGGCCACTCCTCTGTCTACTCTCCACTCGCTCTCAGCTCTGCCTTCGGATGAGTCCGTAGAGCCGAGTGGCCTGTACCCAGAGCTTGTTGGCTGCCTCATGTACCTGATGACCTGCACACGACCTGACCTTGCATACCCTCTTAGCATCTTGGCACGCTATGTTGCTCCTGGGAGACACCGACCAGGGCACATGGCTGCAGCGAAGAGGGTGATGCGCTACTTGTGCAGTACGTCGGGCATGGGGCTAGTGCTTGGAGGGCGACGTCCAGTGGTCCTCACAGGTCACGCAAACGCTTCTTGGGCTGACGACCAGGCTACGCAGCGGTCGTCACAGGGTTACACCTTCAGCCTTGGTTCCGGCTCTGTTTCGTGGCGGTCTATCCGCTCGTCTTCTGTTCTCGGCTCCAGCTGTGAGGCTGAGATCTACGCGGGGGCCATTGCTGCACAGGAGCTACGCTGGCTCACCTACCTGCTGACTGACCTAGGAGAGCCGCCTCGTTCTCCTCCAAATCTGTACGTAGACAACAAGGCCATGCTGGCCTTGTGTTGGGAGCACAGACTGGAGCACAGAACGAAGCACACTGCTGTGCGCTACTTCCTTGCTCGTGAGCTGCAACAGCGTGGTCAGCTGCGCCTTGCTTACGTGGCCTCTGAGGCCAACACTGCTGATATCTTTACCAAGGCACTTCCGCCTTGTGATCATCAGCGCTGCTGTACGATGCTAGGTCTTGTGCCTACTTGGCCTCACTTGCTCACTTCTTGACCTTGCTTGTACTGTGATCTTTCTATACCTGCACTTGCTTGTTTACCTTTATATATGATCTTGCATGTGAACTGGCCTTGTGGCCTTGAACTTGTGCTCGGAATGTGTGGTGACGTTGTGATCCACCCTGAGCTTGCTTTGCTTTGCTTGACTGGTCTTGTGACCCCTTGTTCTCCCCCACTTTGCCTATGGGGGTGTGTCAGACTTATATGACTTAGCCTATGTAGGCTATAGTGGGGTAGCACATATGGGGTACAACACATTTCTAGGGTTTGTACTTGTACCCAACCTTTCCCTTAGTCAATCATTCCTCGTTTTTCACTGAGTACAGCTGACGCTGATCAGTGATTGGAGAATCCTACGAGCGGAACCAAGTAAACGGACGCACACCCTGATTAAATAGTTTTGAGCCGAACCAAAGCCGTCAAGCTTGCTGGTTGAGAGATCGACTTCCCTATCCACGTTTCATAAAGAACTGAGAGATATAGGGAAGTTTGTGCGAGGGTAGTACGGAGAAAAAGGCACCAGATAGGCCAACCAGCAGCAGCAGTAGGTCACCAGCAGGTCACCAACCAGACACGGTGTCCAAAATGAGGATCAAGAAACCTGGCAGCAGGAGTTGTGAGAATGAGTGTTGAAAGGACACAGAATGAGATGCACTTTCTGGCTCTTACTAACTTTTGAGGAAGCACGCTCCGGGACGTGCGACGAGTACGCTCTGAGCTTGCGACAACCCCGTGCGACACAAACTGAAAACGACGACGACGACGTCGTCTGCGACTTTGTTAATCGGAAACGGCACGCGATAACGACGGGAAAGAGGCTGGGGGGAGCGGTGCGACGATTCAATGAGTAAGCGATGGAATATCTGCAAGAGAGAAGAGCCATTGCGACTACAGTCGATTCGCTGGCACGGCATGATTGGCTGCGTAGCCATTGTGATAACGACGGACGTGATTCGATCAGTTGGAAAAGTGCAATCGGTATGGGGGGGATTTGGAATCGCAGGCGGTGTGTGAGAGCGAATGCGACGACGAGCTGTCACGAGCCGTCAAATGCAAGGCGATTGATGATCGAGCAACGCAATCGCAATCGCACGTGTCAATTGCCGGCGACAACCGCAGGCCAGTGCAGCGAATCTGAGAACCGCCGACCAGCACGAATGAAGAAATCAACGAAGCGAGAAGAGCGATAAAAAGGAAACGACTCAGTGGTCACTGATCAGGACTAGAAAGTGACTTGTGACGGCTGGGCGTGACAAGCAAGGCCTTCAATCTGCTGCAAGGAATCTGGCAACGAATCAGCTTCTATCTGCAAGGACTGATTGAGACGGCGATATTCCCAAAGCATTTCTCACTAGATCTCTCAGCTGAATCGGGGGTGGCGCTCCGTTTTGCCCGGGGTGACGCTCGGGGGTGGCGCTTTCGGGAGCGTCACCCTGACCCGGGCAGAAAAAAACTAAACCCCTATTGGAACGCCATGCCATTCGGGAGCCTAAACCCTAAAATTTTAGGGTTGAGGCTCCCGAATGGCATGCCGTCCATCTGGGGTTTAGTTTTTTTGCCCCGGGCAGTTTGTCGTTTTGTCGTCTCCTCTTTATCGTTTCCTCGCCCCCTCTGTTCCGTTGAGATATACAGGTAATGCTCGTTTGGCGCACCCAGCTTTGCCTTGTGCTCTGGGCTTATAAGCGGTTTTGACATTTCGCACGGTTCGTACAGGTTCGCCAGAGCCATGACGTGCTCTTAAAAAGCACAGGTTGTTACATGTTTGTTTTTTCCCAAACAGTAGAGGGCGGCTGGTTTTGTTGTTTGTAAGTTGCACGGTTACCACTATTTTTTCCGTCCAATATAGCATGCGAGTACACACCCTTCCTCAAATTGTCACAAACAGCAAACCCAACCCACCAGCCAATGAAACACTCAAATTTGTACTCATGCTACTTCCCCGTCATCGTTCTCCGATCGCGGCAATGTTCACAAGATGTGCACATTGCCGGCAGGAGGAGAGTTGAACTCCTCCGAGGGGATTCAAACCCCTTCACAGGCGCATCCATTCGGCGGCTGCCAGGTAGCCTCCCATGACGGCCGGCACAGCGCCGTCAATCAGCTCCTGGCGGCGCGCCGCCTGCTGAGCCATAGTCACCCACGATGGGGTGGGCTCCGTCATCCATGCCGGCAGCACACGGCCACGGCGACGAGGTGTCTCGGCCGATGGCGTGTCGCCCTCACGCAAGGCAGGCGGCGGGGTCATGTTGAGATTAATAGGCGGGCTGGCGCGCTCCATACGCGCCCTGATGATGGGGTTGCGGATGTTGAAGAGCGCGCACAAGTCCCGCGGGGTGATGCCGGTTGCCTTCGCGTAGCTGATGAGCATCTCGGAGGCCGCTCGAGCGTAGCGCCGTGCCTCGCGGGACTCGGGGTTGCTGTCTTCGTAGACGGCTTGCATGGTGGCGGAGGCTTCCCACATCTCCGCAGAAGGCGCGGTAGGCGGCTCGGTCGCGAGCGGATCCTCGCCCGGCTCTGCGCAGGTTGCCTGGTTGTCGTCAATGGCGACCAAGGCCGCTGCCGGCATGGCGCTTGAGCCGAGGCCGAGGCGATCGATGAGGATGCCAACATCCCCGATCTCCTCGTCAAGGCCGATGTCCACATCTCGGCCCACATTGACGGCGTCGTCGCCCACAAGTGGAAGGTCCATGGCCCACGCACGCGGCAAGCAGCCGGTGCGCCACCAACAACGCTGGATGGTGCGCACCTCGATGTTCTTCCACGCGTCGTTGAGCCAGGCCACGACGTCGCGGAGGTTGGGCTTGAAGCGCGCCACGCACGAGGTAGCTCCTTCCGCATTCCAGCGGGCGGTGAAGGCGCGCAGCCAATGCTGCCGGTACCGCGCCTTCGCCATCGCGATGAGCCCCTGATCGAGCGGCTGGGTGAAGCAGGTGGTGTTCGGTGGGAGATACACCAGTCGGACGTTCGAGAGAGAGCGCGTGCGGAACCCGAACAGGTCTTCGGAGGTGGCGCCTCGCGACGTGAGGACGTGGCTGCTCGCGTTGTCGAGCAGAATCACAATATGCCGACCCTCGGCATTCATGGCTGTGTTCAGCTGCTCGATGAAGAGGGTGAAAAGCTGCCATAGGGGACGGGCAGGTCAAGGCACATGAACATTAGTTCACATTCACATGGTGCATAAGTGTGAAATTCAAGTATAAGTGAGGAAGCATAAGTGTGAAATTCAAACCATAGCGATCATTAAAAACTCACCGGTGAGGTCATCCAGCCTTTGGCTGTGTTGCGCCAGTAGCAATGCTCCTCTGGATCAAAGTTAGGGCGGAAGTCATGGGGGCGCTTCGCCTTGGAGATCACCAAGGGGCGGAAAGAGTGCGAGCCGTCGGCATTGACGAGAAAGCCGACGGTGAGGCGGTCTTTCACTGCCTTCCTGCCCGCCACACGGCTAGCGCCGTACGTCTTGCGAGGCAGCACCGAAATGAAGAGTGCAGTTTCGTCGAAGTTGTATGTGTCGCGAGGCCTAACAGAGAGGTGCATGAGGAGCTGCGGGAGCTTCTCCTGAGTCGTACGGACGGCGGCAATGTCCTGGTCGGCCGCCTCACCACATGCGGCAATGCACCTCACGCCCTGGCGGCGCAAGGCACGGCGGACCCAACCGATGGAGCACCGGAACGTCGGCGGCAGGGACATGCTGCGCGCCAAGGTCGCAACATGCTCTCGAATTGTCGCAAGGGTAAGCGGAACGCCAACCGGGCCAGCATTGGCGATCCAGCGCGCCATCGCCCGCTCGAGTTCAGGATGGGCTCCGCCGCGCACTCGCACAGCGTTGTTGTCGGAGGCCGCGGATGCCCATCGCTCGGACTCCTTCAGCACTCGGCCAATGGTGCTGCGATCAGGCCTCATGCCGAAGCGGGTGAAACACCAGCGGCTGAGGTCGACGTGGCGCAGCTGGGGGTTGGCGACATGGTGGGCGCAAATCGCGCGTTTGATATGCAGAGCTAACTGGCTGCGGTGGTAGAGACGAGGCATGGTAAGCTAATGTGGGTAGGATAGAGTGAATGTCGAGTGAAATTGGCTGCCTTTTTGAAGGGATTTATTGTGCGCCTTACTGGGGCTTGAAGGTGCATTCGCAATGGCAATTGGTCAGCAGCACATCAGGAAGCACACATGTACGTGGCTTTGAAATGTGGCGTGGGGAATTGGTGCTACCACAACCACTATGTGTGACGTGTGAGTTTTGAACAACGCTTGGTTGTCAATGTGTTTGTACCGAGCTTGGGCAAGGTACACGTCAGACTGTTGCACCTTTCCTAAAATGTGTTTGACGCACCCTGAACCTCCCTACGTGGCAGCCAGTCATCTGCGAAGTGACGCGCGACGTCAACGGAGTTTCAGCCTGTCATTTCGCGATGCTTGTTTTTGGCCAAGAAACAAGGCAGACCCCGGTAGACTGGGTCTGTCTTATGCTCCTGGTTGACTGTTTTGGCGTTCACCAACCCACATGCAAGTTGTTTGGGGTGCTTGTAGACGGGGTGCAATCTCTAGGGAACCTCGACATCGCGGGCAGGGCATCTAAAAGGTGCAAGGCATTTTCGCGCGCAAGAGGTGAGCATTACCTGTACCATGCTGATGGTGATTTCGAGGCAGTGAGGAGGGAACTGGTGTCCCAACTTCCACCGTACTGCATCGTTTTAATCCCCGCTATTCTAACGTTTCTTTTAGGTGGACCGCATCCTCGCTACAATACCGTCGCCTCTACAGCGCCGTAATTGAGGTGTGCGTTACGGTAACGGGGGCTGATGACTTCGTACACTGCATCCACACATTAAGGTAGACTTGAAGAGTTTCCCACTTCTCACAGGTCTTGATAAAGATAATCTCATGAGGTACCGGTACTGTAATATAGCATCTGACAGGAAACATCCTACAATAAGGAGCGGGCAACTGTGCATCAAAAGCCGCTGATTTAAGCATTGTCAAAGACAGCACATAGAAACTCATTTCAGGGGAAATACTTAATTTCGACGGTACATCCGATCCAAATGAAGTTACAAGTTACAACAGGTCCAGCAACACATGGTACAACAGTCTCAACCACTCATCAGGCGGGCCAGGCAAGCAATAATGCAGGCAATCCCGAGGGGGTTCCTTATGTCCATCTGGTCTACCAGCAGTCATGGGTACAATATCCATAAACACCCCTCCCACACCCTCCACCAGCTTTCTAGCTTCCTCGTTCTGCTCCGCAAAATCGCCCCAATGGTACGGCATTGCTGATGGATCAGAGGCACCGACCGATGGCACGGAATATCTTGTACAGTTAGTATGTCCCGTGGCAGTGCTTCTGTAAATTATAAGGAGGTTGGGTGCAGCTGCTCGTACTGTAGTTAATGTGTGATTGAGCTCAGCAATAAATAAGGGCGTTTCCACCCAGTGGGCCCCTCGGTTGAGCACAAGAACCGATATGGGAGGAAAGGGGTCGTTGTTGGGAAATGATGCTGCGGGCTTCCTGAAATGCCGTTGGAAATACTGCCAATACGTGTCTTCCTGCCCAGTTTTGCTGGTAGCCAGATTTTTTTCCGCAGAAGCTTGTGGGGTTGCAGAAAACGGCCAGCCAAACAGTCTCGGCTGCCCCATCCGTTTCTCCTCTTCCTCTCCTTTCTCCTCCTTCCTCTCCAGACCCTCCTCATGCCTCTCCTCCTTCACCTGCCTCCTCTGTGTCACCTGCATTTTCCGCATCTTCTGCTGCTCCAACCACTCCATCTTTTCTCTCTGTTCCTGTCGCTCCTCCTGCTGCAGCATCCGCCTCTCCTGCTGCCATCTTTTCTTCTCCTCCTCCCTCCTCCTCTTCTCCTGCTCCTTCCTCCGCTTCTCCCTCACCGCCTCCCCCTTTACAATCACATCAAGCCACGGTACAGAAACCCGTTTCGAGAGCTTCACATACAGGTGCAAGTCAGTGCTCACTACATCATCTCTCACGAATATAAACTTGGTTCTTCCCAGCGCAACCCCAGTGCACAGAAGCAGGTACGGCCGCTGCTGCAGCAGCCTGTTCTTAGTGCGGCTCTTGCAGAATGCAGGAGTGAATTCAGCCGGTTCAAGGAATCCCCCCTGCTGCTCCTGCTGCTGCTGCTGCTGCTGCTCCCCTTGCTGCACATTACCGGGCATCAACGTCTGCCTGAAATGATTCTTCAGAGACTTGAACAGCATTGCGTTTGTCGAATCCCCCACTATAAGCACAGTCAACCCCTCCAGTTTCTCCGCCAGTTTCCCCTTGTCCACCCCTCCCCACTCCCCACACTTCTCTTCAGGAACCCACTTATACTTCACCGTATCCCGCACCTTCCATTCCTCTGCCGAACCTCCTGCCAGAGCTATCTCATCTGCTTCCTTGAAAGCAACATTCTTATAACGGGAGTTCTTCTGCTCAGGCTCGCTCCTCCATCTATCGTCACACTCCCAACCAGCACTGACCGCGTGGGGTTGCGACCAGGGAAGCGTGCGGGGAGTATGGTCCAGCTGCCACGTGGCGTTTGCTGATAGGCACGTGAGGCGGGTCTGGAACGAGAGGAGCTGATTGGCTGAGGTGAAGCGGGAACCGGGGATGGTAGAAAGGGAGGGGAGGGGGGACGCTGGAGGATCCGCGATTGGGAGAATCAAATCAGGATTCTCGCGAGATTGCGGCGAATCTTTCGGGTTAGTATCAACTGTTGAGATCATATCTTCTGGCGATACAACTAGCACCTGCGGCGTGCTGGTGGTGGTAGTGGTATTGGAATCTTGCAACACTCCCTGAGAGCTGACGCTGGGAGCAGAGATGCTGCTGCTATTAGGAGCAGGGGTGCTGATGCTAGGGGTATCAGTGCTGCTGCTGGTGTCAGGTACTAAAACTGGATTTGGAAAGGAACTATTATTAGTGGTACCCGAAATTGACTCGGAAAGCGCATCAGGCGAAGTTGCGGCTGTAGACGCGGTAACCGTAGGCATGGTAACCGTAGAGGTAGTAACCACGGAGGTGCTGGTAACCTTAGGCGTGGTAACCGCATTTGAAGGACCCAGCGGCCAGGATTGGGGAAAGACGTCGGAGAAGAGGCCATAATAAATAAAAAGCAGAGAGACGAAGACGACGGCTGGTAGCAGCAGCGGACGGTATACGTTGCTACTGCCCGAGCCTTGAGCAGCCATTGCAATCGATCTGGCAGGATTCGGTGTGGTTCCGGGCTCTGGGCAAACCTCTGGTCAACACTGTAGACAGCCTTACAATTAGCACAATTGGTAAGAAATAGGTGTGATTTCGGTTGACCAGAGGTTTGACCAGAGGTTCTGACCAGTGCCCCGAATTTACCCTTACTAGAACATGTTTGCCAATTCCGTCTCGTTAGTACTGAAATATTATCGGGTTTTTAGTTTCCCAGGAAGGCTTACTCTAGATGTCTGTAAGGAAATTCCTTTTCCTTACTTCGCGTCCCCGCTCAGCGCGTACACCACTGTAGCACCACAGTCAGCACCGTTACCACTCGCAACCCTCGCATCGACAATCCTCCCGCCACCTTCGCACGTCGCACCCCGACCTCACGGCTCGGCGGGTAACCTGCGCCTCGGGCCTCCGCTTCGACATTTCCCCCAACCTCAGTCCCAGGCCCGTCGCGCGACAACCACAGTCCATTACCTGTCTACCAACCAATCTGAACCCTGAACACTTTTTTTTTTGCCCTGACAGGTCAGAATTGATTTCTGAAAAAGCCTTGAACATACAGGAAGGCTTCGAAAATCTGCCCTGACAAATCAGGGCATTTTTTACGATTCTGGAAAGGTGCCCTGACGCCTCAGGGTGCCCCAAATCCTAGCACGGGCCCTGGCTCGTAGTGCTCTCTCGTAAGCACGCACGGCCACGACAGAGGCTCTCGCTGAGCTTGCCCGACACCCCTGCCTGTGAAGAAAGGTTGGGTACAAGTACAAACCTAGAAATGTGTTGTACCCTATATGTGCTACCCCACTATAGCCTACACAGGCTAAGTCATACAAGTCTGTCACACCCCCATAGACAAAGTGGGGGAGAACAAGGGGTCACAAGACCAGTCAAGCAAAGCAAAGCAAGCTCAGGGTGGATCACAACGTCACCACACATTCCGAGCACAAGTTCAAGGCCACAAGGCCAGCTCACATGCAAGATCATATATAAAGGTAAACAAGCAAGTGCAGGTATAGAAAGATCGTAGTACAAACAAGGTCAAGAAGTAAGCAAGTGAGGCCAAGTAGGCACAAGACCTAGCATCGTACAGAAGCGCTGATGATCACAAGGCGGAAGTGCCTTGGTAAAGATATCAGCAGTGTTGGCCTGAGAGGCCACGTAAGCAAGGCGCAGCTGACCACGCTGCTGCAGCTCACGAGCAAGGAAGTAGCGAAGAGCAATGTGCTTCGTTCTGTGCTCCAGTCTGTGCTCCCGACACAAGGCCAGCATGGCCTTGTTGTCTACGTACAGAACTGGAGGAGAACGAGGCGGCTCTCCTAGGTCAGTCAGCAGGTAGGTGAGCCAGCGTAGCTCCTGTGCAGCCATGGCCCCCGCGTAGATCTCAGCCTCACGGCTGGAGCCGAGAACAGAAGAAGAGCGGGTAGACCGCCACGAAACAGAGCCGGAACCAAGGCTGAAGGTGTAACCCTGTGACGACCGCTGCGTAGCCTGGTCGTCAGCCCAAGAAGCGTCTGCGTGACCTGTGAGGACCACTGGACGTCCCCCTCCAAGCACTAGCCCCATGCCCGACGTACTGCACAAGTAGCGCAACACCCTCTTCGCTGCAGCCATGTGCTCTAGTCGGTGTCTCCCAGGAGCAACATAGCGTGCCAAGATGCTAAGAGGGTATGCAAGGTCAGGTCGAGTGCAGGTCATCAGGTACATGAGGCAGCCAACAAGCTCTGGGTACGGGCCACTCGGCTCTACGGACTCATCCGAAGGCAGAGCTGAGAGCGAGTGGCGAGTAGACAGAGGAGTGGCCTGAGGCGAGGAGTACGTGAAGTCGAAGCGCTGAAGGACCTGCTGCACCATGTGTGACTGAGTCAGGGTAATGGTGCGCTGTGCTCTGTCCCGGGTGATCTGCAAGCCAAGGTAGCTGCGCAGTTCACCCAGGTCTGTGCACGTGTGTCTCTTCTGCAGCTCGGACTTCACGTGGGCGAGTCCAGCAGTGTCAGCAGTGGCAAAGACCAAGTCGTCGACGTACACGAGGATGTAGAACGGCGGCAAAGAGGTGTCGGTGCGCAGAAACAGCGACGGGTCGGCAGTAGAAGGAGCAAACCCAAGAGCCGCAAGTGTAGTCCTCAGTGTGTCGTGCCACTCACGGGGCGCCTGGCGGAGACCGTAGACTGGCCGCCGGAGGCTCCACTGGGTACCAGGGGGAAACGACCCAGTGAAGCCAGGTGGGCGGCGCAGCCAGATCTCCTCGTGCAGGCTGCCCTGCAGGAAAGCTGTGCTGAAGTCAAGAGAGTGAAGCTCGTAGTCGCGCTGAGCGGCTATGTGCAGCAGCACCCGAAGAGTGGTCATCTTCGGGGTGGGAGAGAAGGTCTGAAAGTAGTCAACTCCCTGCCGCTGACTGAGGCCTCGAGCTACGTAACGCGCCTTGAAGACAGGTGGAGAACCCAGCGGCCGCTTCACCCTGAAAATCCACATGCCACTGACGATGTTCGCCCCAGGTGGGGGAACCTCGTCGACGTAAGTGCCTCTGGACTTCCAGGAAGCCATCTCTGCGTCCATGGCTGACTGCCACTGTGAGGAGTAGGGACCCTCGATCGCCTCTGCGTACGATCGAGGAGTCGGGATGTCTGGTGCATCCGGGTCTCCCTCAGGGGCAATCAGCGTGGACACGAGATGAGGCAAAGCAGCAGCAAAACACTGGAACTCCTCCTGCCTGTCCTCAAGGACGTCCGTGCTAAGAGCACACTCACCCCCGACGGACGGAGGACAGACAGACTCAGACTCAGCAACAAGACTAGCAGCGTAGTCTAGACGACAGCGAGCAGCAAAGTCGACAAGCTCAGCAACCAAGGCAGACGCAGCAGTGGACTCAAAGGAAGGGTCAGTGACAACAGTAGCCAGGAGACGCGGGACAGTAGGACTGGCAGCACGAAGAGAGTCAGACTCCGGGTCAGCAAGGACAGGAAGAGAGGACTCTGGAGGAGACGGCAGCGGGACACGCAGAGGAGCAGTGGAAGGACGCAGTGCCATCTGGTGTGTGCCTGGAACCGCAGGAGGACGCGGACGTGGAGCACGACTACTAGTGCGAGCAGCACAAACAGGCGACGCAGGACGAGACGCAGGCTCACGACGCTCAGCAAGACCTCCAGTAGGACCAGTGTAGGGAGAAGGAGCAGGTAGGGGGGAGGCGGCCTGTAACTGTGACCGCGACTGGACAGGCTGTGGACACTCTAAGGGAGGAGTAGGACCAGTAGAGGGCGGGAGACCAAGAACCTGCTCAAGGAGCGGAACGAAGTACGGTCGCGGCCGCGCAGTGCCTCCAGAACCAGCAGGGACAGCACCAGTACCCCCAGCAGCAGCACCAGCGCCAGCAGCACCTCCAGCTCCAACAGCGCCAACTCCAGCACCCTCAGAAGCTCCAGCAGCACCTCCAGCGTCAACACCCCCAGCAGCTCCAGCTCCAGCAGCTCCAGCAGCTCCAGCAGCACCCCCAGTCCCAACAGCTCCAGTACCGTCAGTACGAGCACCTCCAGGACCAGTGGCTCCAGTAACTCCAGTGCCGACTCCAGGGTCAGCAGCAACCGTAGCACCTCCAGCTCCAGCAGCACGGCTCCAGCGCCGGGCAAACCACTCGCGCAGCTCCTGCGGAGAGAGGGGCTCCCGCCTCGACGAAGCACCGCCAGAGACCACACGAGCAGACCCAGCACCCCCAGGCTCCGCACCCCCAGACTCAGCACCCCCAGGCTCCGAACCCCCAGGCTCCGCACCCCCAGGCTCCGCACCCCCTGGCTCAGCACCCCCAGACTCAGCACCCCCAGGCTCAGCACCCGTAGACTCAGCACCCGCAGGCTCAGCACCCCTAGCAGCACCAGAGTCAACAGCTACCTCGACAGGCTCGACTGCGTCTACCTGGGACACACCTGACGGGGCAGGACCCTGAGGGGGGAGAGGGTCTACCGGGGGAGGACCTGGCGCAAGGAAGAGCGTCGGCGGGGGGAGGGGCGCAGTGCGGTAGGGGAAGAGACGGTAGTAAGGCACCGACTCGTCAAAGGTGACGTCCTGGGAGGACAGAACACGGCGCGAGGTGGGGTGGTAAAATTGCCAACCAGGCGCGTCAGGGGGGAAGCCAAGGAAGACGCAGGGAACCGCACGGGGGGGCAGCTTGTCCGCAGACAAGTCGCGGACAAACGCCCGAGATCCCCAAACACGGAACGCAGACGCATCGCCAACCTTCCCCGTCCACCTCAGGGTGGGGGAGGTCTCCGGCAAGGAGACTCGGGGCTGAAGGTTGAGCTGATGCGCTGCGTACCGAACCGCAAACGGCCACAGAAAATGGGGAGCAGCCGCATGGATCATGGACGTACGAGCGACGTCCATGACCATGCCAATGCGGCGCTCAGCAATCCCATTTTGCTGTGGAGAGGCCGGAAGCGTGAAGGTCTGGCGGATGCCCCGTGCACGACAGAAGGCTCCTAGAAGGGCAGAGGAAAACTCCCCGCCTCTGTCAGAGTGCAGACGCAGAACAGGAAAGTCC